TATTGTTTATGTTCTTCATGTATTGGTTGTATGAGCCTCTATTCGTGATCCGTTCATTGGTACGACTGGTCTTAATTTCGATTTTTCGCATTAGTCTTTGGTTTGTTTTAGTGGGTTCCACTACAAAAATGCAGAGTATCAGCGAGGGAAAAATCCCTCGCAAATCCGTCGCTGAAAGGGCAATCCGTCGTTGATACTCCGTCGGTCAAATAGTCGTAGGTAATGTTATCAGCGACGGATTTGTGAGGGATACTTTCAGCGACGAATCAGCGAGGGAAGTATGTAGCGACGAATCAGCAAGGGATCTGAGAAGGATCTTTCAGCGAGGGATCTGCGACAGATCTTTCAACTACGGACCTGCGACAGAACTTTCAGTGAGAGATGCCTAACTTTGCTCCCAAAGAGATGCCTCATCAGGGAGAGGGCTGTCGGTACTAGATTGTGACTCACCCCCTAAACGATTGAAATCACTCATATGGTTCACCAAAACAAAAACGGGTGAGGTTATGTATGTAGATATTTCAGCAGCATAACGACTGTAAAACAAACATAACCAATGCATGTTTTTAACAACTAAGCATTCTAATAATACCAATGTTCGAAGTCACATTCTCAACCTACTTACTTAGCCTAACGTCTGCCCAACAATGACAGCCCAAACTAATAACATTACTATGTTTATTGAAATATATTACCTTAAACCTACCAAACATATCTATTAACCAAAATAATGGTTTTAGAAAACTTACATGATACCTAGCAGCTTTCGGGTAACTGAACTGAGGAGGATCGATAGGCGGGTTGGACGAACCTTGATCGAACTTCCGGTTCGTGCAGTAAGTGCGCTCAAACACCTCAGTAGCAGTTGGCTCACGACCCATTACTTATGCCTACATTAGACAATTAGGTTAAGTTGTTACTAACATAAAGAACGAATTACATTTTCAAAAAAGATTATATACTCACCATCCCGTCTCGATGTTGTGCAGTACTAATCGATCCCCCAGTGTGTCTGGACGACACCCCCTCAAACTGGGTGTTCCGATTGGCCCTATTGATCTTGGATTTCCTTTTCCAAGCCTCGGTATCCCAAACCTGTTAAAAACAAAGCACATATATAAGGCGAAAGGCGATACATATGGCAGTTCGAAAAGCTCACAATAGAGATACATACTGTGTCAATCATCTGCAGCCAAAACCTGTCTGGTATCCATACGGGATGGTGTAATCTAATCCGTGAGAAGTCCACACCATCCCATTGCTGATCACCAGGATAGGCCTGTGCCACGACCCAGTCACGTGCAGAGCTCATCCAGTCAGAGTACCTGTTGTGCATGGCTTTGGTCCATAAATCATGAACCGTGTCATCTAGCTCAGGTTCCCACTGGAACTTAGCCTACATACACAATGTTTGTATAAATGTAAAAACAATAACCTTATATGTATAATTACATTAAAATGGTACACCAACCATAAAGCGCTAGAACATCAAGTCACGTGCTTCCTGAGGTACTTTTTCGGTTTTATTAGGCCTTAACCCATTTAACTGGGCTTTGTTCAGTTTTATTAGGTCTTAATCAATTTACCGGACTATTTTGAGTTTATCGGGTCTTAAAAAACTTTATTCAGTTTTATTTGACTTTATTTGGTTTAATGGGCTTTATTCGGTTTTATTGGGCTTTATTCGGTTTTATTAATTAATTTTTGTAATATTTTAATAAATAATAAATAACTAGAAATTTAATAATCAATAATTAAAAATTAATAAGTAATTAAATTTATAGTTAAAAAATAAAAAGATGGTAAAAATCAGATTCCCTCACTGATCAGCGAGAGAATCTGATTTTTGTCAATTCCCTTGATGATCCCTCGCTGATCAGCGAGGGAATTGTCATATTTTCTTATTTTTCTTGTTTTTTTATGTGTTACATATACACATTTTTATATGTATGTATCGTATGTATTAATGTTCGATTTTATTGGACCTTAACCCATTTAACTAGGCTTTGTTCGGTTTTATTGGGCCTTAATCCATTTACCGGGCTATTTTGAGTTTATCGGGCCTTAATAAACTTTATTCAGTTTTATTTGACTTTATTCGGTTTAATGGGCCTTAATGGGCTTTATTCGGTTTTATTGGGCCTTAATGGGCTTTATTCGGTTATATTGGGCCTTAATAGACTTTATTAGGCTTTATTGGGCCTTAATGGGCTTTATTCGGTTTTATTAATTAATTTTTGTAATATTCTAATTAACAATCAATAATTGTAAATTTAATAATCAATAATTAAAAATTAATAAGTAATTAAATTTATAGTTAAAAAAATAAAAAAAATGGCGAAAATCAGATTCCCTCGCTGATCAACAAGGGATCAGCGAGGGATTGTCCAAAAACTCATTCCCTCGCAGATCAGCGTGGGATTTTTTCCTTCACTGATGTTCGTCATTGATACTTGGTTTTCTAGTAGTGTTCGTTTGTTGTGGTATTTGTTCGAGGTTGTTGTTTATCGTCTTGTTTGCTATTGTTTTTTAGCTTGTTTTTTGTTTTTCGGTGTGCTATTGGTTGTTTTTTTAGACTTGCAGAAACCGTGGCCTCTTGGTGTTTGTTGATCATTAAAAAAAATAGTGGCAAAAAACGACATATACTTAGTTTTATTAAGAAATGAATATATGTAAAATTGATTTATATAACATTGGTAAAAACAATATAACTTTTAATTTAATATTTAAACAAATAAAGAATAATTATATTCAATAATAATTGAATTAAATACATA